TTGAACTCACAGCTATCTACCTGACTCTACGTCCCATGTGCTAGCTAGAATTAATGGTGTGTGCCACCACTACTGTCCCTCAGAATGCTCAGTCACTGTCTGTTTCTCTGTCTCTCTCTCTCTCCCTCCTTCTCCCTCTCCGTGTGTGTGTGTGTGTGTGTGTGTGTGTGTGTGTGTGTGTGAATTCCTTTCATTTAAACAGTTCTTCTTTAAGATAAGACAAAGTCACATTCTGTAGGTCTGAAATCCTCCTCCAGCACCCCAGGTTCCGGCTCTCTCACTTAACCAGCTCTTACTTTGTTTTCAGCTAGATTTTCAGAGATGAAAATTTGACTTATTTTTCTTACTATTCTTCCCATTAGTCATGTTCTTCTGCAATATCTTTCAAAAAGCATAACATTTCACCTAACATAAAGCTGATTGTTTAAGGTGTTTATTTATACAGTCCCCACTACTATCCAGTTCTAGAACATTTCCACCCCTTGAGAGTAGACCCATAGCCATTAGCAGTGACAACTCTACCTTCCCACTTTGCCCATTAGCCTCTGTGGGCTCTCCTACTCTGGACATGACATAAAAGTGGAATCCAGCTATATGTATCTTTCTCCATTGCCTTATTTCACTTAAGTATATGCTTTCTGCAAAGCTTAACAGGTGTCAGTATTGTATTCCTTTCTGTGCGTGCGTGGGTGTGTGCTCACATTTGTGTGTAGACATATGTATTTGTATTCACGGGTGTTGGGGACTAGAAGTAGACGTCACTGTGTGCACATCCATTTTTTCTTTGAGGCAGCATCTGTCAGTGAGTCTGGAGCTTATCCATTCAGCTAGGCTGCATAGCCAGGAGGACTTGGGGACTCCTTCACTTACTCCCCATAGCACTCCAGACAAGGATTAGCTTTCACATGAGTGCTGGGGAGCAAATGCATGATTTTAAAATTTTTTCTCATTCACTTTATTTTTTGTTTGGTTAGTGTTTTCTGTTGTTGTTGAAACAGTCTCCTGTACTCCAGGATGACCTCAAACTCACTAAATAGGTAGAGAATGGCCTTGAACTAACTTATTGTCCTTCTGTCTCTATACACACATCTGTATATCTGTAGTAGATTACTGGCGTGCTCCACACCTGTTTTTATGCAGTACAGGAGATTGGACCCAGGGCCTTGGGAATGTTAGGCAAGTACTCTACCAAATAAGCTGTAGTTCCGGCCCCCATTTTATTTTTTAGCTGACACATGTAATTACTGATCAGCACACTGTTATACATGCATTTTTTTATTTTGATGAAACATACTTTTATTTTTTGCTGGCTGCTTGGAAGGGCTGACAGGTCTGCCTCTTTAGTCTCTACTTGGCTGTCTCCTCAATGCCACAGCAGCCTTTCTACTTTTTTGTATTACCTTATGATAGGGTCTTTAGCTGCCGTCCTTCAGGCCTCAGTTCATAGCTGCCACTTCTCTGACAGACCTACCTGTATGTCTCAGAGCAGCATGGGAGCCTTCGTTAAGAGTGGAGGTGAGGAAGTTAAGTGCCCATGAGGCCTGATGGTGTTGGGAATCAGCCGAGCAGCTAATGCCTACAGAGAAGAGCTCTCAATGATGCACTGAGTTCACTAAAGCCGGGTTGGCAGCAAGTCAGCTGTCATGGAGTCTCAGCATGTTCATGGATGCAGTGTGACTTTGGTTCTGCAGGAACTCCTGTTACTTTCTTTGCATATTCAGGGCTGTAGTTTAGTGGGAGAACACTTGCCTGCCACACAAAGCCTTGTGTTTGATCCCCAGTGCCACATGAATGTCTTGTGAACCTTCAGACTTGAAGTGAATCACTTCCTGTAGATTTCATTAAAGAAGCAGGCCACATACTGTGTCCAGTGTTTATGGGACACTGCGTCATTGCCTTTGTGGGTGGTTCCGGCCATAAAGAACAAGCCATGTCACTTTATCTGGGTGGTTCTGCTTTGGGGGTGACCATTCCTGTGAGTTTCTGGGACAGGCACTGGAAAAAAGTGTTCTTCCTCCTTGCTCATCATCTTTCTCTAATTGCAGGACATTTTGGCACAAGTCCTACAGATTTTACTGAAGTCAAAATTGCTGGTATGTTTGTATACTTTGTGTTGAGCTAGAAGAAACCCTTTCCCTGGGATATGCCTAGTAACAGTTATTTTCTTCCAGGTCTTAGAAGATGAAAATGCCAATGTTGATGAGGTGGAATTGAAGCCAGACACCTTAATAAAGTTGTATCTTGGTTATAAAAAGTAAGAAAAATCTAATAGATAGCTACCAGTCTTACCCCCTGGCACCGGGTATACTTCAGGATCTGCACGAGCCAGGGGAACTGGACTCTGAACAGGCGTGCTGACTGCCTGCAGTTCCTCAATGCTCCTTTGTTTAATGCTGAGTTTGGTTTTCTCTATTTTGAAAATAAGTCTTGAGTGGCTCATATGGCATGTTTAGACCTTTATTTTGATGTTATTACACCTCACAAAATTGAGGGGTCAAATGTCACTTCAGTCACCGCTCTATGGTAAAATTACATAGCATTGGTGGAGGGGCAGTTCCCAGGTGGTTGGTAGAAATGACAAGAAATGATGTACAAGAGATGGGTGTGAACCACCTGCCCAGTCTAGGGAGGCAAACCATGCAGCTTTGAAAGACAGGAAGCAGACTTTTCAATGACCTGTTTCCTCTGTTGTCTTGACAGTAAGAAATTGAGGGTTAATATCAATGTACCAATGAAAACTGAACAAAAGCAAGAACAAGAAACCACACACAAAAATATAGAGGAAGACCGCAAACTACTGATTCAGGTGACTGACCCATGTCTGCACTGTACACGTAGGGCAATGTATTGGCCTCTGTGTGCTGTAACTTGGAAAGGGTTGCCAGAGTGACACAGTCCAGTGATGTCAAAGATAACAATGCCTGAAGCCAGCACATTGGTGTCTGAGGGATGAAGTATTTTACGTACCAAACAAAAGTAGTCTAATCTTCTTGCCTAAATATTGGGAAACAGATAATATATGGCAAATTAAAGAAACAGGAGAGTGGGGGCAAGGGTGGGTACCTTCTATGGCTTTAGAGATCCACTTTTTTTTCTTTATTCTTTAGTGCTTTACAGTTGGCCAAAATATTTAAGATTTACATTTAGTAGCTTGAATGCATATTTTGTCTGCATATAGGCACATATAGGGCACATGTGCATGACTGGTGTCCCCAGAGGCCAGGAAAGGATGCTGCATCTCCTGGAACTAGAGTCAAGAGTGTTATGAGCTACTCCTGTAGGTGCTGAGAACTGAAACCAGGTCCTCTGGAAGAGCTTAGTACTCTTAAACCACTGAACCATCAATCTCTAGCCCCTTGGCTAAAACATTTTAATGTGTGCTCTATTAGGGTTGAAACATGGATAGAGCGGATTCCTCTCTGACCTGTAGGATACTTGTGACCCTAGCATGCAAGTAGAGCTGAGGTGGTACAGGCTGCCTTGAACTTTCATGCTCGGCTGTTAAAGCTCTAAGCGTGTGTTTTTCCTTGTTGATTGTATAGGCGGCCATCGTAAGAATTATGAAAATGAGGAAGGTCCTGAAACACCAGCAGTTACTTGGTGAAGTCCTCACTCAGCTGTCCTCCAGGTTCAAACCTCGAGTCCCAGTGATCAAGGTACAGGAATTACAGAGCAGCAATGTTTTCTGATTGTTAGGAAACCTGTAGCAAAAGGATTAATGGCTGTTTAATGAAAATGGGAACTGGCTTACTCATACAAGAAACTTCAACAAAGGAAAGTCAGCTAACTTCATTCTCGGAGTAAATGTAAGAGGCATACATATCATAAATATACTTTTAGAATTGATATCCTGATCAGGATTAAGTCACAGGCATCCAAGATGTCACATGTTCCTCCTCTAGTCTCACTGTGTTTCTCTGGCAATGAGCTGTCCTACAGCCTTGGCTGGTTTTGCCTGGTGGAAGTAGGTACAGAGAGTGATCTCTGCTGTGCAGCTGAGAACTTGCCTGGCAGTTTGAGAGGACTCATTCTGGGCTGTATTGTTAGGAAATATTTGTCCATTTCTGCTGCCATGCCAGGGACATACTCCCCTCTATCTAGGGCACTAATTATCTCATTTGCCTAGTTTCTGCTGGCAATAACTCAGCAGGCTTTTCCTTTTCTGAAACTACTTGGGTAAGCCTCAGCCACCGGAGAACCCAAGGATAGCAGTGTATGGTGAGCCCTCAGTGGTCAGGAGCTATTAGCACCATGCTAGCATGTGCTTCTGACCTGTGATGGCAGAGTCCTGCCCAGAGGCAGCCGGGCTTTGTTAAAAAGGGAGATTGTGACCTAGATGTGCTGGAGCCCTTGCCTTCTTAATGCGTTCATAGGGCAGTTTGGAGGAGGTTGGGGTGGGGGGGGTGTTTCAGAGTCACCCACAGGTGTTACTGAAGGCATTCAGGACAGTGACAGGGTTGAATTTGCTCCCTGCTGAGCTCAGTGGAGGGTAACTGGTAAGGGTGACAGACCTCTTTCCTGATGATTATTTGCATTTCTCTTCCCCTTTAACTCCCTCTTCTTCCTAAAATAACGCCCAGAAATGCATTGATATTCTCATCGAAAAAGAATATTTGGAGCGAGTCGATGGTGAGAAGGACACCTACAGTTACTTGGCTTAACCCATCTAGCAGGGTCTGCATGACCCACAAGCAGATAGTTCCAGTGAATAAAATGGAAACAACTCAAGTTCATAGCAGCCAGCCTGCCGCCATTTGGACCTTCCTTTTTAAAGCTGAGACCACAGTTCCCACCAGCTGGTCTCAAGCTTCAGAGGACTGCTCAGGACTGCCGCCTTTCAGTCTGTAAACAGACGCCAGTGCCCTTTACCCTCACTCAGACAGGGGGACCGAACCTTCCATGCTGAGGCTGCATGCTACCGCACTAAGTCAGTACATTGGCTCCCTGGTTAACAGCTGTCGTCTGAGGCAGCACACGAGAGCGAGTCTGAATGGACCCACGTGTAATCTGCTATGAAAACCATTTGTATAGTGTGTTTCATTTTTTTAATGTGTGAAAATAAAGAAAATTAAAGGATTTCTGTACAAGTTGCATTTGGTTTTGTTTTAAGTTTTACTAATTTCTATATGTAAATAAAAGATTTAATGATTGTGCAAGTGTATATTCCCAGTGTCTTCCTGGAATCCAAAAGGGCTGCATTCTTTGGATTGGAAATTAATTTTTAAAGCCCTCAATCTTTTTTTGGGCACTGACCCTTGTTTTCTGAGACTTCTTCAGTACCATGAGTATGATGTTTTCTAGGTGATGACTCCAGATTGCTGCTATTGACTCTGCAGGGACTAAATGAATACTGAAACAGGTGTAGAAAGCAGCTGGTCTGTACTGCCACAAACTGGAATATGGAAGTAGAACCAGCATGGGCTCATAGCCTCCCATTTTCATACCTCCATAGTCCCAAGGTCCATTAGTGACAGCTACTTACTAGCTGGTTATGGTTCTAATCTGTAAGAGGCTGCATTGGAAACTCCCTGACCACCAGGGAAGGTGGTTAGCCCTCTCCAGTTGTGCGTGAGAACTGAGAATCTCTCTCATTCCAGGTCCCTCCTAGTGAAGCTTTTCCAAGGAGGCTGCCATATTCACCCCAGGATGTCCCAGGAAGGAGGGCCCAGGCCAGGGGTTGAAGGCTCTCATCTTCCTCAGATCCAGTCCAGCCCAGGGGCATCCTCAGACCTCCAGGGGACTCTGTCACAAGGCACTGCACCGACCTTTGCTCTCAATCTCCATTTCCTGGCTAAAGGGCAAGAGGAATGCAGAGGAAGGTGATGGATTCTTCACACGCAGTCTCAGCACTCATTCCACTCTAAGGATGCCCTCAGGGTTCTAAGCTTACTTAGCCACCTGTAACCAGCTATCCCTAAGCTAAAGTCTAAGCAAGTGAAATTCTGAAGAGCCTAGCACTAAATGCACTTAAGTTCCCATGCTTTATTTTGGGGGTAGGGGGACACAGTTTACTTATCACTCTCAGGCTTGCACATTAGGCAACTTATGTACCACTGAGCCACATTGTTAACCCTTTGCTTTGACATAGAAATGTGTCTAATTGGGCAGCCCAGGCTGGCCTCCAACTCGTGATCTTGGTTGGTTCTGCTTCCCCAGTGTTAGGATTATAGGCATGCTTCATCATACCTCACTCCTCCATGTCTCATAGTATGTCTATTTTTCAGTCTTAATAATTAAGACTCTCAGTATATAAACTAGGTAAAAAGCATTCCCTCCACCCAGAGGATCCTAGAGCTCCACAGACACGATTTGAAAACTCTATTTTGCAAACTCTGAATAATGCTCACAGCTTGCTTGACCTAACAGTTCATTTGTTCAAATTATACCTGAAACAAACATGCTGTTAGAAAAAAGTACCATGAGCCTGCTTTAAGAATTTGTCTTAAACCCATGAAGAATAGGGAAGAGGACAAGCAAATTTGGCTGGAATCTCTTCAAATGCTCCAGGATCAAATGTGCTTCTAGGTAAGTACACAGGACCTGGACTGCAGGCTTGGCTAGGGCAAGGGCTAACCTCAATTTCAGATTGCTGGTAAGTGAAGAGTGTTGGTATGTGTCCATTCAGCTTCCTGCTCTGCTGCCATTCTTCCCTGCCATAATGGATTCTCATCCCTGTAGAACCCAAGTAAGCTTTGTTCTCTAAATCAACTTTTGGTTGTAGTGGATTATCACAGCGAGAGAGAAATAACATACATTTTTAACTTTTGAGGCTGTAAGGGCTAGGCAGGCAGATGGCCAGCCTAGGATACATGGAACACCTTGTCTCAAAAGGAAGGAAAAAAAAAAAAAAAAAAACCAAAAAGCCAGGAAGGTGCAAAGGAAACTCCAGATATCCAGAAGTGAGCTCAATGTGGACTATAGGTGGGTTTCTGGTAGTTAAAAATCAGCATTCCTCAGGAACTTGTTAAGCTGGTCCTCCCCAGCCCCCACCCCCGACCAAAATGAGTCATTTCCTGTATGGTGGAGACATAAGAGCTCATGCCAGCCTCCAGGCTCCCTCAGTATCACAAGTACCTATTACACATTTCAAAGTCCATGCTAATCCTGAACCCTTCTTGCCTCCCCCTCTACCCTAAACTGTCATCACTTCATTCTCCTTATAACCCTGTTGTTCTGTGTGCCCCACCCCCTTCCTCATTCGGTCAATGCTTTTCTCAACTATGTTTTCTCTATTCTCTTTCCTGTGCCATTTTAGCCCTGGCCATGTTCAATCTATTTACTCTCTCTGTGCTGGGCTCTTCCAGATGCCTCTGGCTGTTCTTTCATATCTATAATAAAAACCATAGCATGGGGTGGTCATGTCAGTTTTTATGCATCTACAAACCTGAATTTCTACCCCATACTAATATGGTGACAGGATGACTGTAAAACTATTTAGGATAAAATCTAGGTTATACTCAAGTATGCCAGTTTGGGCCATGAGTTGACACTGCCTTGACAACTAAAACTTAAAAAACAGTGTAAAGAAGCAGAACCTAGATTCAGGGGTCTACCCATTCCGAAAGAGATGATTATAAGTCTGTCCCTTAATGCTTCCCCAAGTCCTGGAGTGAAAGGGGTGGGGGGAAGACCAAGTACAGGGGCAAAACTGGCAACTATTAGAGCAACAAAAGCTTACCTTTTAATCTAAGTGTTGGTTTGCCTCCTGCAAATCAATGTTCTAGTCTGAAGACAGGACTCAGTGGTTAAGAGCACTTGCTTGTGCAGCCCTAAGACACCAGCACCTAAGCACATAAGGTAAAATGTACCTATAATCTCAGTGCTGTGGGAGAGAAAAGGAGGGTCGTTGGGGCTGCCCTTTACATCTGAACTATTGGCTATGTATAGATTCTCGAGTATGGGGAATCAGTCTTTAGTTGTGTAACCCACTTCTGAACTTACTGAGTTCAGAAGGATGGCTCCAAATGGTTGTAACACAGATGGCCCTAGTTAATCATTGCGGGCCAAAAAGCTAAAGGGATAGACATGAATGTGTAAAAGTTCTGATGGCACTGGGAGTCAGGGTGAGGGTAAGAGTGATAAGGATGCAAAGAGTACATGTGTGAAAATGAAAAACTATTACTTAGGCTGGAGAATAAAAAGGCTGTCTGTCTGGAAAGGGCTTACTCTTAACTCGGGACCATCATGCAGTGTCAGTGTGGCAAGCCACTGCCTTTGTGGGAACTTGATGAGAGAGTGGCTACTGAACCAGCAGGCTCTTGAAATTTAAAATATTAAGCATTTTACAGTGTTTATTCCCTACTGAACATCTCTGCCTAATTTTCCTTTTAGAAATATATATCTGAGGTTAAAAAAACAAAAGTAAACCAAACCAAATACCTTTACAGTTCATGCAGCTATCTGGTGGCAGACCTAGGAAGACCTTTGTCAAACCAGGTGAGCACAGGATTATTTCTAATACCTACCCACATAGATCTACATATGGCCCTCACCGGAATCATTTATAACAGGGTGAAGTGTAAAAATAAATATTTCAGTCAGAATTAACAGAATGCTTAAGGTCTTTCAAATGTTCACAATCAGACTGTCCTGATGACCTGCCAACAAACTTTAATCACGTAATTTGTTAGTATTCATAGCAGTGGCCAAAGGCAGAAATCAAAGTCAGATCTTCTAGTAGGTAAGGATTAGGTGATTTCCAATACTGAAAAACAAAGTGCTTCTAGGTAAATAAGTACTTTTTAATATGAACTATAAAATACCTTGAACTTGACAAGCAATGACATGGTGTTTTTCCCAGTCATCAGTCTGGAAGAGGCGATATGGACCAGCTTACCTGTGTATCAGGCTTTGCGCAATCCTCCACTATACCTGGGCTTCAAGCTGACTGGATCTAACTAGAACTGACGCTTATCAAATCAGTGAGAGGATTTAGTGGGGGAAGGCACTTGCTGTCAGGCCTGATGACCTGGTTTTGAGCCCAGAGACCCACAGTGTGGAAGGAGAAAACTGACTCCTATAAATAGCCTGTTTTCTGTTTTTCTGAAAGGTCTCACCAGATATCCCAGGCTGGGTTTGGGTCTCCCACACAACTTACAACCTTTTTGCCTTGGCTCTCCAAGTACTGGGATAAACCACACTTGTCTGCCTACCAGCATCTGTAACTCTGTCTAGACTATAGAATAAGCTATGTAGGATCTTAGATATAACCTAGTCTGACCTGTACTTTTTATACATGGATAGCAGATTGGAAGGTTCAACAGCTTTCCCGAGGTACAAGCTGGCTGGAACGTTTCCCACCATCTCTTATTTACTGACTTGCCTTGCTGAATGCCCAGAACCTGTGCCAGTGTTGTTCACTCATGTCTTCTAAAGACTAACAGGCAATACTAACATTGGATCTAGGCAACCACTGTACCAGTATGTTTATTAGTTATTAAACATTCACAGACAATGGAAAAACAAAGCTAAGTTGTGTTTTCCCACAAACTATAGTCTTTCTAGAATCAGTTGGTGATATTCTATGACAAGTGACTCAACAACAAGTTCAAGTATTCTTTATTCAAATTTGAAAAATGTACCATACTGCATTATTGCAAAAATTCACTGGTACAAAACACTTTGCAGCTGGTGAGAAGGCAATAAAAAGTTGATTTAAAAACTCATTACTATAAATTACTGTTACAGTACTTTGCAAATTCAGAATTTCAAACTGCATTTCCTTTTCCTAAATTGCCCACAGTACTCAAGGTTCCTGAAGCTAAGGCAGCTGTTTCAGAGAGGAGGGGAAGAGGTAGTAGATGTCAAGGGATCTCCATTTCTCGTTCGATGCCCACATACTTCAGGGCATCAGCTTGGCTGTATCTGAAAGAACATGAACAAGACATGACTTTCTGTCCAATATCAGGAAAACCAAGTCTGCTGATAGAGTGAATTATGTCTCTAACACACACACACAGCCGGCCAGCTTTAGCAGCTGCATACATGAAGGGGAGTCATGCCTCTGTCACTGGTCACCTGCTAGTTATGAGGTTCCTGTGCTAGAAGCATTCTCCAGACCTGCTCAACCCTCCCTGTGCCCCTGCAGCACTCTGCTCTGAAAGGCAACTCTACTCTGTGATGTCTGGGTCTAATTCGAAAGCAAAACCGTGATTTGTAAAGAATGGCTAATGCCAAAGAGCACCCCCCTCCATCGACAGTGCTGATTCAGAAAGTTATGCCAAGACAAGCTCTGAGGGTCCCACTACTGGAGAAGCTGGACAGCTTTGCTTCAAACCCTGGGCCATTTAGAGCAAGAATGAGATAAAGCCACTTGCGGTGACCTCTCTAGGAGATCCCTATTCCAGTTCCACAGGTTTCAGTTGGTTCTCTCCAGCTGTGCAGCTAAACTGGTTAACTGGTTACATATAACACGCTCCCCCCCCCAAAAAAAAAAAAATTCCACAACTGAAGTTTCTGGGTGGAATGGAATGGATATTCAACCACAAGAATTCTTTAACTAGTACTCCTTACCAGATCACATTTAAATGACTGTTTGACACTGCCAGCCTGATCCTGCCAATGGAGTTATACACTGTCAATGGTTAAGAGTAGCTTCTTCAGAAAGAATCCAGTGACCACAGGGTGTTCACAATTAAAACAATGAAGATGTGAATGTGCTACCAATAAATGCATGCTACACCACTGAGAAGGTGTTGCAGAATTCAGATGTATAATGTGTGCCATGAGGTAGAGATTTAATTAAGCCCCAGGGGTCGAAGTCAGTTATATCAATAGCACGGTGCTGGATGCAGATTTCTGCATAGGTTTTGTTAATTTTTTTCAAATAGAAATTGTATAATTAATTCATGAGAACTACACTGAGGAAACATGTAACTGTCTACCTACTGGTGCCCACAACAAATAGTGACTGGCCAGTTAAAAGAACGCCCCATCCAATGATGGCAGATCTGTCAACGAACTTAAAAACAGCCTGTGACCCCAGCCCCACAGTATAAGGGAAAGCCCTTAGATAATACTAAAAGTGTATTTTACCAACCTGTAATCAAAAAACAACTCTTCACCAGTCTGGATAGCCCTCTTAGCAAAAATGCCTATTCTGTGGTCACCATTAACCATCATAACTGCAAAGAGAAAAAAATTGGGGGCAGTAAGCAGGAAGACAGGCCATAAGAGGTTAATCGACTGTACAAGTACTCCAGAGGTACTAAAGTTTGCTTTCACTTGGCTGGAAAAAGGGAACTGTTGCATCAATCTGTCAATTCCAACTTAAAAGCTTACCTTTTGCATAGCAGTTTGGATTTACTGAATGATTAGCAAAACGAATTTTGTTGCCCTTGCGGGTTGCATCCACCACAAAATCTAAAGAGAAAAAACAGACAATCCAGTGACTTATTTTCAGTCATAAACCAAGGTTATTATGGTTTTAGAAATATACTTCCTCAGGTTTGACTTAAAAAGCAAGTAAAACATCCAACTTCATCCAATATAAAAAATGTCATTTGGAAGAAAATGCTCTTCTAGATTAAAGCAAATCCTTGGTTGTTAAATCTGGCTCTCAAATGCCATGATTTCTCAATTATATACTGCTGAGCAAAATATGGCCAAATTTCTCTGAGCATCAGGAAGCATCAATGGCATATTGACATTGAAGATTACAGAACATTTTCATTAACAAAATGTGTTCTATTTGGTCTGGCTGAAATTTTGCTGATGTGTGTTGAGCACACTCATTTTCACAGGTCCCTCCCACAGACACAGGCTGCGGCTGCGGCTGCTTTCCTTCTCACAATAGATGGGCAATATCCTCAGGCCACAAGGTGCTTTCAAAATGCTCATCCTCTCAGGTTACATACTGAAGATGTGTACTGCCCACAAGTTCCAGAGGACATGAGGCAAGCCACAGCAGTGGGGGACAGTGTCCCCTCATAGCCAGAGCATGAGGCAGGCCCATCTGCAAGTGGTTGGGACTCTAGATTATTTCCTGCACACAGCCATTCTGCTCACTGGGGACTTCCCCTCTCCTTACCAGTGAGCAACACACCTCTGAAGCTAGGCCTGCTGATAAATACCAGGAGCTATTCCTGCAGACAGATGCCCTCGATCCTGGAATTTTGCTGACCTCTAATTTGAAAACCTTGCCTTCCAGCTCAGAACATACCATTGTTCAAGTTGAACAGAAAGCTGCACATGTATTTGTCATACACTTTCCCTCTTCTGTCTGCTTCATCCTGAGAAATGATCTACAAGGACGACACAGGAGGAGATTGCATTGGAATAAGTGGTCAGGACTGTAAGAACACACACGAGCCAATTCAGAGGAGTTTGGTTCCTCTTGAGGATATCAAGGAGTAGCTAACTTTTCTTCTCTATTTAGCGTGTACACAGTAAAGAACTTATGGGGGAGCGCTTGTGCACTCATGCCTTGGTATGTGTGAAGGCCAAAGGACACCTTATAGGAGGAAGTCATTACTCTCCTTCCACCACGTGGGTCCTGGGATTAAACCCAGGTCATCAACTCGGCAGCAGGTGACCTTGCCCACTGAACTGTCACACCAGTCCAAATAACACTTTTAAGAACTCCAAATCAGAGAGATCTCTATGTCCTAAACAATATGTCTAGAGAAAGTGACAACAATATTGCCTTTCTGCTGAGTAAAAAATGTAAATTGTGATTTTCTAAAGCTTTGTTTTGGCTTTTTTCCTAGCCGTACAACTAAAATGACCAAGCTAATAAAGTTATTGTCTCGGGGTCCCCATGAGCTCGCCTGCCAAGTAACTAGGACGAAATATACACAGCAAAACTCCTATCCCTTGTTCTCTAGGTAATAAAAGCCAAACATGACTAGAAATAAAGCAGTCTAGCTAATTACTATGTAAACCAAAACTTAAAATACAAATAAGTCCAGGCTAAAGAGCATTTAGTATTAATCTATTCTAAACTTGGCCTTGTTGAATGAAATCTATCCAAAACAATGCAAGTTGCTACTATAAACCAGTCCCCTGGAATACATTAGTGTGCCTTACCTCTCCACAGTATTCTGAGATGAATTCATTTTTCTGTACAGGATCTTTGATAAAGATGCCCCAGCCTGCCACGTCCGACGGTGCCAGCAGTAAGTGCTAGAGAGTAAGCAGTCACATGAGCACTGAGAGCAGGGCACAGGAGGCTAGCAGTCTGCAGGGTGCAAACAAGTTAGCAGAGGTAACCTCAGACCGACCGAGGGGGATCACTAGGCTCCCAGGTGGATCTCATAGGTATAAAAGTTGCTGAGTGTCTGGAAAACTATTAAGGTAATATTTCTAAGTAGAATTCAGGATAAATATCCTCTTCCAGGAAAGACAAACAAGCCTCTCCACCTGGGGTAGTGGGTACTGCAGCAGGGAGGCGTGTGGATCTGCTTCTCTCTCACTTCTGTTCAGTCCAGCTCTGAACTTGCTTTCAACCATCGTCCTCCAAAAGGCTCATATGCCCCAGCTTGTGGACTGATCCCCAAGAGGCAAGTGAATTGTGAGGCTCTGAACAACTGAAGAGCAGTCTCATGACAGACTCAATTTGTTGGTATTACTGGGAGGTGATGCAGACTCAGTGAGTGGGGGTTGGAGGAAGTGGTCCCTGGTGGTGTGGCTTTCACATGTGTCTGTCTCTTGTTCCTGAGCCTTGCTGGGTTCCCGCTGCTCCTGTGCACTGTGGATCGAGCGACTGTTGCCCACCACTTGCTCCCCTACCATGATGCTTTGCCTCACGACACACAGGCCAGTAGCAAGAGAAGCATGTGACCATGTGCTGAAACCAACAGCCAAAATCTTATCTCCTTTACATTGTTTTTCTCAGGCATTCTGTCACTGTAGCAAAACTAAGAAACAGCATTTCATTTTTGTATGTGTGTGTATAGTATTTACATGTGTGGAACATTTGCAGGTTAATGAACATCTTCAGTTATCACATCTATGCTCACCACTTCACTTCTTTGGAGACAAGGTCTCCTTCACTGACTGGAGCTGTTTTATTTCAGTTAGACTGGCTGGCAATGAAACCCCAGGCCCACCAGTCTGTCCCACAGCCAGACCTCCAGCACTGAGGTTATCAGTGCATGGCCGCCACACCTGGTCTTTAATGGGGTGCTGGTCATATGAACGTCATGACTGTGCAGCAAGCTCTTTACTCTTGGTTTTAAGACATGTCACTATGAGGCCCGTGTAATTATGCCCTTGAACATGGGCCTCCCATCATACTCTTAACGAAACCAATGAAGGTGAGCGCACCAACCACTCTCCCCTTGATCTGTCTCTGTTTCCCAAAGTACATTCTTTTGTTTGCTCAAACTCTTAGCACATTGTGGTTCTTCACTGGTATTTATTCCTCCGAAGAACCTGCCGAAGAACCTGCCGTTTCCTCCACAGCTTTCCTCTAGAAACTCCTCATGATAACCCAAAAACATCCTTATTATGAAGGATATGGTGATTCATCAATCCCACAAAAGGCCAAAATGACTAGCACCAAATATGATAACTTTTCTTTATTAATTTATATTTTGCTTTTTGTTGTTTGTTGTCTTTCGTGAGAGAGTCTCTCTGTGGAGTTCTGGCTGTCCTGGAACTCCTGTGGAGACTAGGGTGACCTCAAACTCACAGAGACTGATTGGCTCTGTCTCCTGAGTGCTAGGATTAGAGGTGTGTGCCACCACTACTTGGCAACATAGTAACTTTTCACCATGGCTGTGGTGCATCATGCTTCACTCAGAACATTCTTTTGACCTTTAAAGGGGTTCCTGGATCAGCCAAGCTTTTCTGAGCCACTCTTGTCAGGTGAACTTGCCAACCACTTTCCTGATCAGAAACAAAATTAGCTAAGTAGTGGGAACAAGCAAGTGAATGCAGGTGTAAGAACTATATGCATAGTGTTCTATTTCTGACAGCTAAAAAATGCCATAGAGAAAACATCAGCATGAGCATTCCTGCCCACTCTGTGAACAAGCTGAAGGAAGGGAATGGACATCCTACAGTGGCAAATATGGCATCAGGACACAGACAAGAGATGTTAGGTCTCAGCAAATGTGCCAAAGGAAACTGAAACAACATTAAATGGATGACCTAAATGAATATGCACCCATCTAAAGTAAAATGATTCGAGAACATTCACTGTGCTCAGCTAATCTAGATCAGATCTTCCATGAGTGTTTTGCCTGCATGTATGGATGTGCACTAAATACATGTCTAGTACCCACACAGTTTAGAAGAGGATATTAAATCCCCAGAACTAGAGTTACAGATTGGTGTGAGGCATTGTATGGGAACTGAACCTGGGTCCTTTTTGGGAGTGGCTAGTGCCCTCCAGCCTCATCACCCTACTCTTCGGGACCCTCTTTGAAATCCTGCTGTAGGTGGAACTATCAGCTTCTCTTGGCCTTTTTTCTTCCTTGAGTCTTTGAACCAATGCTGTTCAGTGGTGGAGATATTGTTACTCTGTGTCATGCAATACCAACACCAATATACAGCTCTGACGAATTAGCTCATTAAGAAAACCAAAGAGAAGTCTGCAGAACATGCTGAACTTTTGGCCAAGAGAATGAAGGAAGCCAAAGAAAAATGCCAGGAACAGAATGCCAAAAGAGATAGACTATCTTCACTGAGAGCTTTTAAGTCTGAGTCTAGCCAAAAATAAGTCTTTAAGAATGATAAGTGATCAGACCTTAAATCAGAGAGACACACACATGCAATATCCAGAAAATACCTGACTACTTTGCTTTCATCAGTTGCACCTTTAAGGGTCACTTTTATTTCTTATTCCCAGTTAGACTCTCTTAGACCATCAGTAAACAGCCATCTTCTGGAAGATGGGGATGAAGTCGAGCTGCTAGTGGAGGACTTACCTAGCATGCACAAAGCCCTGGGCTTAGTCCACAGCACTATATAAAATCAAGCATGGTAGCATACACCTATAATCCAGCATTCAGGAGGTAGAGGCAGGAGGATCAGAAATTCATGTTCATTTTAATTTTACATAGTAAATTTTAGGAAAGCAAAACTTACACAAGACACTGTCACAAAACCAACAACAAGGTTTCCAGACGTAACTGTTATTTACCTTTTTAGAGCCCCGCTGAATGCTACAGTTCTTGCAGGACACATTTTTACTGTCCCAATGGTCAGCAGCTCCACACGTGAGACAGAGGTCAGGGTCACACTCTCGGACAGCCAAGTAGCATGGACACTGCTTGGTGTTGCATTGTGCTTTGCACCGGCATCCAGGAAAGCGGTTTTGACCTTTAGGGATAAATTTTGACATCATCACCACCATATTCAACTATCAACATCATCCATAATCCTTTCCAGGAAGGTTGTCAATATCTTGTTGAGCACATGAGTCACTCACTTAAGCCCTCACAACCTTTCCCTTGCTATTCCATGGTAGCCATGAGGAAATAGGGAACCACAAACAGGAAGCTGATAGGGCTGAGAGAGATCACTGCTGGGTTTTGCTGTCCATTTCATAGTTGTTAAATATCATATGAATTTAAAGTCCTACGGTTAATTAAACATGTTAATTAAAGGGAGGTCTTGGACTGATAGATATCCATAACCCTAGACCATTCCAGTAAGCCTTGGTTCTCAACCTGTGGGTCTTGACCCCTTGGACAAACCTCTCTCCAAAACACATATACATTATGATTCATAACAGTAGCAAAATTATGAAATACCAACAAAAATGATTTTATGGCTGGGGGTCACAACATGAACTGTGCAGCATTAGGAAGGTTGAGAACCACTGTAATAAAGCATATTTCTAATCCATTCTTTGGTATCCACGCTTTGTGTACAGCTTCTTGAGTGATTGTGAAAACCTACTGCGCCCTTACCTATTTCCCTTCATTCTGATAACCAAAACCCTCTTAACTCTCACTACTTCTGATACCCACACAAAAGGAATGGGTAACTACTTTTACATTTTCCTTACAGTCTATGCCTCTTTACTGTAATTCAAATGACCAAAGAGAAAAACAGAAAAATCCAATCCATTACTACAACTCTGCCTAACTTGTGCATGAGCACACACAGTCACATTGCCCAAGAGGCTGACTAGACATTAGCACAGTACAGGGCTCAATAAATACTTGTAGAATAAGCAGCTTTCCTAAAGCAAGCAATAAGAGAGCACTCCCAGTCCTTATGTCTGATTTAAATCACCATTTTGAGCTGCTGACCAAAAGCCTATTCAGTTCTCATGCAATTGCACCAAAGCAACAAATACTTACACTCTGAACTACATTGACAAAACTTTTCACAAAAATTTTGTGCTATCACACAAGGGCACGAACTGTCACAAGGCTGCCGTGGATGGTCACAGGGTTGATAGTTGTAAACATGGTTAGAGGAGCCGTCTGAGTAAAGATAACAGCACGCAGCCAATGAATCCAGGGAGACGGGAAATGATCATCACAATTAACAAGACATTCTTCCCCACTCCCTCTGGAACATCCTTGACTGGCTGCCTTTACTGAAGTACACAACACTCCTGTGGAGAAAAAAATCACCTCCCACCCGCCAAGTGCTTAAACACGTGGTGCGCCATTTCAGCCCCACTTCCAAAGTTCTGCTTCTCACTGCCTCACTCCATCAGTTCACTCTCGCAGCAGTAACTGCAGATCAACACACACCGTTCATTTAAACTGATCTGCTAAGTCAAAGTCAATTAAATCAGAATAACCAAAACTTCATCCAGTTTCTATTCTAAAACAAATGAGGACAAAAGACGTTTGGGGCTGAGGATGAGGTTAGACGGGAGGATGCTGACCCTTTTTCAGTTGTATCTTTCTGCAGTGTGCAGCCCACAACCTGCAAAAAATAGAAAAACAAAGTTCTGTGTGAGGTACAACAACTGGCTACAAACCTGAGTCCTGTTTAAGTGGGCTGTACAATAATTAATGCAGTTGTGCTGAAAAGACTAGCCTCTATTGGTTTGTCAGTTCAGTGTGACTCAGGAACCTGCTCTCAGGTTACTGTGTCATGCCCGGAAGCCTGACCACATTGCCTGGTTAAGACTATAAAGGCCTTGTGCATACCTACTGATTTAGTCATGTCTGAATTATATGGATACCAATACTTTCTATAATTTTCATCATCACTAACTACCCAGTTGAACTGTATGGTAAGAAATTGTTCAACCAAAACCAAAGCAGTATCTAAAGCCCAAGATTTCCACTATTTAAAACGTACTACAACACAGTCAGTGAGCATATCTAACAGCAGTCTTACCACTCAACACATCTTATTTTAAAATTTGAGGGTTGAGGCAGGTTTCCTTGGCTCTACATTTACAAAAGCATTCTGTGCAGTTACTCACTACAAGCCTTTGTGAGAGGTAAAACCCAGACTTGGAGAAGCCTCACTTTGAATATCAGAATGTAATGGCACACACTTAGAAAATCCAGGCTCATAGACTAAAAGACACTTCTAAACACTGGCCCAAGAAGCACAGCAGAAATACATCTTAGAACATTCTACACCAAATGGCTAAAGGAACTATTTATGTAACTTTATTGCAATATGGTTTTCTCAACCAAAATCCAATGTGATAAAACAAAATTTTTATGACTTGATATGCCAACTATACTGAAGTGGCTGTATATAAAAACTAACAGTAACCGTCAGGGAGAATTGAGATTGCTCTATGTCTATGGTAGCTGTTTAGAACCTTTTATATAATTATTCAAGTGAAATCTGAGCACTGTTCTTGGGGAGCCCTGCCTGCAGATCGAGCCTCACTGCTTTCCTAAGGGCTCCCCAGCAGACTTACCGATGTTTTCTTTTCTTCTTTCTCGGAGGAGTGTCCACATCCTCAGTGGGAACAGGCGCTATGATACTGGACTCTTTGACTCTAAACTCATACACCTACACGAGAGGCAGAGTGATATGGACACTGTGGTTTAACGGAACCATTCCATGCTTTTGCATGCTGGAGAAATGTTTTGTCTCTCCCATGACACTGCCAGTGTATGGACTAGGGGTAAGACACACAGTAGAAATCACTATTGTTCATCACATTGGGAATGTAGCTAGATTTAAAGTCTGGCCAAATTTCAATTCTATTTACATGTATCACATCCAAATTGAATTCTAAACTAGGGAAATTCTGAAACACAGCTAAAGAATACTGATTTAGTTTTCTTAAGGGAGGGAAGAAAATTAATTCTTTTCAGAAGATGAACAGAATGAAATCCAGACTCTCTATGTCTAGACCATGAGCACATGTTATCCCTGTGTTTAGATCTCTGAATACATATGCTTACCTGTCTACATGTTTTGGTCCCAATTAGCCTCGCAATGGCACAGAAGTTATCGTAGTAAGTACCAATAAGGACTCTAAACATGGAGGCTTCAGCACCACTCCACTCCACGTTCTCAGGAGGTTCGGTATTTGGCTTCATCTTTATTGGTGTTTGACACCGAGAATTTGCTTCTAGAAAACCAAACGTTAACATCAGTCAAGAAATGACCAAGGGGCTGGGGAGACAGTTCAGTAGGTCAAAGCTCTTCTCATGCAAGCATGAGGACCAGAGTGCAGGTCTTCTCAACCACATAAAACTCAGACACAGCACAGCATGTTATCCCAGTGCTCCTACAAGGAAAGGAGAGACAGAGACAGGAGACCCTCCAGAAGTTCACAGGCCAACTAGTCTAGTATATTCAATGGAAAAACAACCAAAAGGTCTTGTCTCAAACAAGATGGACAATAAGGACCCATCCCCAGGATGCTATTCTCTGACATTCACATGTACACCATGGCACGTATGTATATACAGACACATACACAAAGATGACTGAACAATATGAACAAGTAAAATTCAGGGTATACTAAAGAAAAGCAGAAGGCACGTAATTGTATTTTAGAATTAGTAAGGTTAGAAACAACATCACAAACATCCTATCACACTTGCCAAAGAACCCAGAAGTTCTGCTCCCTTTAACACAGACAGAGTCTATTATCGGTGATGGTATTGTTTAGAGTTGAAAAGTAAATTTCAACCAATAAAATATAAACTCAGCAATAGTACTAGTTTTCTTTTTAACAGAAACTACCCATTGGTCTTTAAGATTAAAACAGAACTTTCTCAGTTCCATCATGCTCCATCAAAGAAAGATGGAACAGGGGAAAAATGGTACAAACAGGAAGAACAATTGGATCAGACCTTCCAGCAACCCAGACAGATGACAGGAGGTACTCTTGGGAGACAGCGAGAACAATTCAGTTATGCCGTACTGAGAGAACTCTCTGATCTTAGCCACAAAAGGGGAGAGAGGTAAGGGCCCTAGAGAGAACACATGGAGCACACAGCTCATGCAGAGGATCTGAGCTTGGTTCCCAGCACCCATGTCTGGCAGCTCACACCTGCCTGTAACCCCAGCTTTCTGTACCTACTCCCATTAGATAATCTTAACTCTCAGAAAGTTAAACTTACAAAGCAATAGTAACCCAGTGACAACAGAGTTATCAGATGTGTCTTACCAGAGGAGCTGGAAGTCTCATCCTTTTTCTCCTCTTCTTCTTTATCGTTGTTCTCTCCCCCAGTTTCAGTCCCTGCTTCTCTGTCACTGTCTGTATCCTTTGACTCCAGCACACTGATGGTGGGGGTGCTGGGTCTGCTACTGTTGTTCGGAAGTCTTCCTCTTCTGCGGCCCCCTGGGCGTTTAGGTGGTGTTTTTATCCGCTCAGCAGTAAGGGCAGCAGCAAACTCCTTAGCTCCCTCCTGCAAAATGAAAAATGGAGGCATCAGAGTAAAGTTCTAAATCTCATTTTGGTGGAACAGAGTAAGACAACACTGTGTAACACAAGTTGATCGAGACTCTACAGTGTCCATATCACAGTCACTGGATATCAACATACCCAAATATTTTTCATCTGCTTTTGATAGTTTTAAGATTTCAGAAATATAAAAATAGATTCAATATTTTGCTCGAATGATGCAAAATCAGGCAAGACAGTTCTACATGGTAAATTTGTAAAATATGTTAAACTAAAACAGAATAAATAAAAGTATGTTTTGAAAAATAAAGGTATTTTTCTCTATATATACATACAGTAGATTTAAAAGAGAATCCTTTATCAAAAGACACACTCAAGTGTGAATCAGACTTCCTATCTCAAGGCTTAAAGTAATACATACCTCTTTAAAGGTACTATTTAAAGAATACAAGGACACAAAACATATACATGCATGACTTAGTCACTTCTGATCTTACTATTAAAGCATCCAATATTTTTTCCTGTGAAGGATGCAAAGCCACAGGAAGACATGAAAGAACTTTTAGGTACAAGATTAGGGTTACATTTTGCATTCTGAAGTACCACAATCCAATCTCAGAAAGTATAAAACAATGGTTAGAGCATGGTTTGTAAGAGACCACAGAAACATTTTAGATGAGCCAATGAAGTTCTGCCTTATAAAGAATATAAAACAGTGCTCAGGAATTCCTTTATTTTTATTTTTATTTTTTATTTTTTTAGTGGAAATAGAAGAGCAAAGTTTGAAAGGAGCCAACAGTTTTATACTTCACTCTACAAAAACCAAATTGCTTAAAAATAGGATACCTTCTGTAGGTGCCATTCATTGAATCTTCTGTCCAAAATCCAACAGGCAATATATACCACTTAGTTCCTAGGTAGGAGTGGCTTGGTTCAAAGAGGGGAAATGGTAAAAAATAAGATAGTACCCGTAAAAAAACAACTTTCCTGCCTCATATTTTCCTAATCCCTTACTCCTAATCTCCATCACTTAAAAAAAGAAAATCTGTTTGGGATCTATGGTATACCTTAGACTATAAGTAGCCTAAAACATTCACAGAAAGGAAACGTCCATGAGAAAGACTTAGGAATGTCTGCACAAGATTACTGAGTTTCTGGTGTTTAAGTGGGCTATCTATACCTCATACACTCATAAACTTTGTGGAGAGTCTTTGATCCTAAGAACCATGAAACGTTGCTGAAGAAATAACACAATAAATAGAGTAATACAAGATTAATAGACTATACTGTGCAGGAGACAGCTATGAAAGACATGAGGGTAAGAACACTGCCTGTCATATGGCCAATGTAAGTATGGATCCAGACAGCGTTAGTGCTGGCTTTACCACCTCCACCAAAGTTCTTAAGAGCCCTCCGGAGTAACAAAGCACTGAATCTCACCAGATGCTGATAACACTGTGGTCCACAAGGCTTGTTGTCCAGAGCTGTTTCTGTGTTCTTCCTCTTATATGTGTTGGGTGTTGCATGGAAGGCTGTAAAATAGGCACAAAGTATCTGAATATAGCTATAAAAACTTATTTTTATTTCCCCAGATCCATTTGAAAATCCAGTATCTTCTACATATATAGTTTATACAACTTCCCTCCATGTATCACAGGGTATCTTCCTCCAACTTTCAAGAAAAAACGTGGTAAACTCTGGAATGATTCATAATTCTTATTTTTCTTTGCAAGTACGATCAATGGGCATAAAGTATGACTATAAACATTTACTTGAGTCTTTAGTATCTCCAACAAGTAAAAAAAATAGAAAAACCCAGCCTTCCTAATTTTATAAAAATATTCTGGCATCTATAATTTCTCCATATAAGGAGGTTTACTTTCACTTTGGGGGCAGGGGTGGGAAGAGGGGTGGGATAGGAGGGTGGACTCCTTCCCAGGCTGACTTTGAACGCATACAATCCTCTAGCCCTGCCTCCTGAATACTACAGTTATAGACGTGTGTCACTCACTACACCCAGCTCTGACAGAATTACTTAATTTCTAGATGAAGGATCAATTTATTAAGCATGAACTAGAAAATGGTTCTACTTATAAAATCTCTAGAGAAAAGAAGCTCCAATAGCTGGAACTAAATTCTAGGGTGTGTTAACCAGTTGTTTCCTCATGTAATGGAAAAGGCCAATGCTTAAAACTAACTATTCGAAATTATACAACAGGAAAAGGACCTTAATTTGGCTAAAAATAAGTGATATTCACAGAACCATGTGGAGTTTTGGTGGCGGTCTTCTTTAGAAAGGCCTTTTTCATAAAGGCTTCTCTCCATCTTCTCCCATCAAGTACCAGAGATCCAATAGCTGGACAAAGGTTTAACCATTGAGCTAAAATCCCAAGTTGTCCCCTCACAAACACACCATTTTAACAAGCACACCTTCTTAACAATGGTTGGGACTTTTTTTGTTGTTGTTGCTTTGGTTTAGGGTTTTCTGTTGCTGTTTGTTTTATTTGTTTGTTGAGACAGGAATTCTCTGTGTAGCCTGAGTGTCCTAAAAATCACTCTATACACAGCAGCTGGCCTTCAATTCACAGAGATGCACCTGCCTCTGCCTCCCAAATGCTGGGATTAAATGTGTGAGCCAACATACCAAGCAGTTTTTGCATACATACAAAGTTTTGCTATGTAAGCCTAGGCTGGCAATCATCTTGCCTCTGCAGAAATAATGCTAAGATTATATATAGATAGTAACACCACTTATTCTGATATATTTTTGAATTTGTCAAAGAAAGTTATTCTTAAAATACTCTTAAAGGAGGCATCAAGATGGCTCAGTAGGTAAGGGCACTTATCATTAAGTCTGATGACCTAAAACTCAATCCCTAAAATCTACATGGGGGAAAGAGAGATCCAACCTCAACAAGCCGACTTCTACATTCATACCATGGCACACATGTGCCCACATACAAAGTCAATCACTCAACCAATGTCAAGAATAAAGGCTCACGGACAGAAAAAGATACTTACAACTGAGAAACAGACCCAGGGGCTGGGGCACTAGCTCGGTGAAAAAATAAATACACATTCATAATAAGCAATGAAAAAAGTACTATATCTCAAAGCAGGGAATCATTTGAACTTCCCCATAAACGATACTGAAGCTTTTAGAGAACTATGTAAATGGGGAAAAAGTTGGATCCATATTCATACCAGAATAAGTTCTAAAGAGGACGATACTGAGTATATGTGCTTTCTAAAGCAGAAGTGGGTAAGATGGGGAGGCTCCCAGTGGACAGTGAAGGTGCCTGCCATCAAGCTTCTCAGCCTGAGTTCAATACCCAGACTTTGGAAACTTGTCCTGACCACTACAAGAGCACCACAGCAAGCATATCCTTCAGCCTCCAAAATAAACAAAGAAACCAAACAATAAAAAAATAATAAAGAAAAGCTTAAAAAGTGTGTAGGGAGCCGGGCGGTGGTGGCGCATGCCTTTAATCCCAGCACTTGGGAGGCAGAGGCAGGTGGATTTCTGAGTTCGAGGCCAGTCTGGTCTACAGAGTGAGTTCCAGGACAGCCAGGGCTACACAGAGAAACCCTGTCTCGAAAAACCAAAAAAAAAAAAAAAAAAAAAAAAAAAAGTGTGTAGGGGAGGGGCTTTATAGTCTTAAAAATGGGGAAAGGAAAGTGATACATTTCTTTTTAAAAAATGTAACTATACTTAGGGACCTTTTATTGAACAAACTTTAACAATTCATTTCAAGGGAGTTACTCAGGGCTGGGGAATTACTTCAGTAGGGAAAGTGCTCACATAGGCAGGAGTGCCTGACCTCTCGTGGCAGGGTGTATCCAAGAACCAGCATTAGGGAAGCAGAGAAGGGGAGGTTCCCAGAGGCTTGCTGCCCCATCGACCTACACAAAAAGCCGAGTTCCAGGTTCACTATAAGATCTGTCTCAACAAATAAGGCAGGGAAGGATAAATGACAAATAGAACCTTTCAAAGGTCATATGGAAACCTACCTATTACCATAAAAGTCCCCACTCTACCACCCCCAAAAAACCTCACACGGAGTTAACATAGTTTCTCTATAATGTGGCAACAATGCCTCTAGTAAACTCACAGGCTCCAAGTGCTAGGAAGAGGTTACCTCCTTTGAGGCCCGCAAACATTATATGCTATTGCCAATGCTGTTGATAAGACCCTATTGCTGAAGATATCACACACTTGAGTTATAGAACATGAAGGTATCAGGCTGACACTGAATTGCATATTTCATCCCTACCAGTGAGCACTGATAGTGCTGGAAGGTGCTATGCACACTAATGAAGGAGAAAAGTAGTCACTAGCCTTCCTAGCTGTGAATGCTGCAAGATGCAATAAAAACCGGCCTGGCAAGACCCGCACTGCTGCAGTAGTGTCATCAACACCATGAGAGTAGGCAACCACTTTCTGATTGGATTTAAGCCCCACTCCACAAGATGATACCTGTATCTGGCATTATTGTTGGGCCAAGAATCTGTGGCTAGACAAGTCATGGACCCTAGGGAAGGAGAGAGCCTCATACTACTATTCTTCGAAATGGAGACAGTATTAAATCAATTGCTAATAACAGCATTATACCCACAAGTTAATGCATTTCTTAACTGTTACAAGAGAAACTTCTATTTATAGTACATGGTGATTAATATAAAGACCCACAACTGGTCAATGTGCAGAGAATAGAAGACTGAGGAGTGTTTAGGCCTAAATGGGATATCTGTATCACATGCTGCTGGGTGTTTGTAGCATATGCATTTAATCCTAGCACTCTGGAGGCAGAGGCAGAAGGATTTCTGTGAGTTTGAGGCCAGTTGGTCTACAGAGCTTGTTTCAGGAGAGCCGGGGTTAAACCCTTGGGGGGGGGGGGGAGTGGGGGGAGAATAACTGATGCTTTTTATTCACTGCAAATTTTAGGAATGGGGATGTGGCTTACTGGAGTATGTGGGATGTGTCTTAGTGAGAGAGTGTGCAGGGATGGGGCTGTGGCTATAGTCTAGTATGTGCCCAGCAGGAGCAAGGCCCTGGGTTCAATCTCTAATACTACAGAAAACAAACACCCACACACCAGCCTAGACAGAATTCCAATTTTATGGGATATGGTGGTATGCTCCTATAATTCTAGCACTCAGTAGGCTGAGGCAGGAAAACCAAAAGGATCACAAGAATCAACAGTTCAAGGCTAGCCTCAACTATATACTGAGTGTGAAATCCTATTTCAAAAAAACACAAAACAAATTCCAGTTATCTGGAAATTTTACTAAGAAACCTCATTTCCTAGAAATGTCAAAAGGAAAATATTAGTTTTGATACTGACATTAAGAATATTTTATGTTTTGCTTATATCCAAATATGAAGTACTTATAAAACAATTACTCAGAAGATCAAAAAGAAACAAAATAGATTAATACTAGGCAAGAAATTATATGTTTTTCACCAATTCATTAACAAAATGTGTTCATAAATATCGGCACTATTGCTCTGAGCTCCTTCACTATAATGACTTCATTATACAACCGCCTTGTGAAGAGTCACTGACCTTTACTTCAAGTTAGTGGGAAGCAGTGAAGTGTGTACAAAAGATGTCAGAGGACTCCTCAAAGAATGTAAAGTCACAGTACAGGGATGGAACGTATTTCTCAACTATGACTAGAAGATTGGTCGGTCCATTTTGGTTGCGATAACTGACAGCAAGTTGCTTTACTACATATTTAAACAACAAAGATAGAAAATGAAAACGTACAATAATTGCACTTACGATGTAGGAAGCAGTCATACTTGAAACATCGACGACAGAAGAGTGTATGAAATGAATGTAAGCTTTGCTCCCTCTGAACAGATTTGGCATTTGGTCCGTCGATGTTTGGGGTACATTCAGGAGGAAGAGCACCTGGGAGCTGCTGCTCCGTGAGTTCTTTATATCTGGCATCAGACAAAGAATGTAAAACAGAAAGAAAAATCACTTTTTTTGAAAGTAAGTTTCTAAAAGGTTTCCATGGGTTTGATTTTTTTTAAAAAAAAAGTTTATCTTATCTAAAACTCAACAAAAAAATACCCAACCTACAGTAATCTCTGCTTGCACCAAGAACCTATCATATATTATGCATGGAAAACAAGAATCAAGCTCATTAATACAACTTAGGTACATCGCAGAAGAGGCTATTACATTAGTTTGGATTCACTATAGAAGCCTCTACCAGAGTCCAGAAAAGGTTTCCTACAATACACTAGTATAAATTGTACATAGGCAAATAACTTTGCGCATGAATACTCATATATGAACTCAATATGAACTAAAAGTTTTCTAATACACAGTTCAAGAAAGAGTGTGTGTGTGTGGGGGGGGGGATGATGCCTGAAATAATAAACCAAGATAATAACATGCATGACTGCCCCAAATTAAAAAGAAGAAATCTTACTCACTTTTCTTTCAGTTCTTCTGCTGTACCCTTATCTGGAAACATTGAGGAAATGGCTTCAAATATTTTATCAGCAGGAAATTTCCGAGGTGGGCAAGTTTCTTTATCTGAACAGTGAGTTGTGATAAGAGAGGAGATGGGAGAACCAAGTTTCAATTTCATTTTCTCTGTATCATAGTCTCTTACCAAAGCTGATTTTCTAAGAACTTGTCGACTTTGGTTCACTTTGGGGACGAGAGGTGGTGGTGGGAGGGAGTAATCTTTGAGACAAGGTCTCTTACTGTGTAGCCATAGTTGGCCTGCAACTAAATAGATCAAGTTCACTTTGAACTTTTGATGTGATTACTTTATTATTTTTCGTGTGTGCATGTATGTGTGCTCATGTGCACCTCCCTGAGTGAAGACACATGGGTAATGCACACCATTGTGCACATGTGAGGGTCAGCGAAGAACTTCTGTGAGTCAGTGCTCTCCTTCCATGGTGGAATTAAGGAATCAAACTCAGGTCATCAACACTTGCTCAGTAAGTACTGATCCATCTCACTAGCCAACTGTTCTATTCTATTGTCTCTGACCCCCAAGTGCTAGTATGAGCAGGATGACCCACTATGACTGGCTTGGGGTTTTTGTTTTGTTCTGTGGGAGAGGTTTGCCTTGTTTAGTCCAAGATGGCATGAAACTCATTATGTAGCTAACGGTGACCTTGAATTTCAGACTCTCTTGCCTTCACTCTCAAGTGCTGAGATTACAGGTGTCATCAAACCCTGTATCACTCACTCTAATGGAAAAGCCTGTCAAATACTAGAAAGACAAATATAAAATTCAAGTATGAGATGTTAAGAGTACAGGAAGACAGATCCCCCAAATTTTAATTATTTAAACTAATAACTTTGTGTCAGAGCTGACCATTAATCCACTTTCAGATCTGTCCATCACATGGAAGAACTTAGCAATCACTTATTGACTCCTAAGGTGTGTTTCTGTTATAAAGAATATATGTCTTTTGAAATTGCAATTTCCCCCCTAGAGAAACTTGCTAAGTAGAAGACACTATTATGGGTTCTACTTTGGGGTGGACTGTTTTCTAGTAACGCTTAACAAGTGTAGAGGCAATAGCACAGCTCTTGAGTCAGACCTAGGTTATGAACTTGGGGCTCAGATTCTTTTTTCCAATGTTGCAATCTTAAGTAAGTTCCTTAGCCTTCAGCCTCTCTAAACTCATTTCCAATATATAATGGAGCTGATAATAACACCTACGCTGTGGAAGGATAAGTAAGTTGGTACATATGAGGTTAGTATACATGATATATATTATTATAAAGATAATTATGATAACTGATCAGCAAAGTCCAAAAAAAGATTATGTCCTTTTGCTAGGCAAAGGAAACAAAGAAGCTCCAGTGGAGAATGAAATGGTACAGAGACTATATCTGATCATAGTACTAAGATATAACACTTAACAAAAGGGAGGGTACGCTCTACCCATGCACGGGTGGTTTTTACATATTTATATGGATTGTATGGTTGTATGTATGCCACAGTATACTGGTGTGAAGATCAGGAGCAACTTAGGAGAGTCAGTTCTTTTCTTCCAGAGTGGGTTCCAGGGATCAAACTCCATTCATCAAGCTTGGTGGTAAGTACCTTTACCCAATGAGCCTGCCTGATACTTTTTTTTTAAAGAATTATATAAGGCTCAAACAAACAAACAAACAAACAAACAAATAAACTAGTGTTAAACCTACCATCTTGAGCATCCTCTAAGTCTTTCTGCTTTCCTTCTCTTTCCTCGGGATCATCTCCATCGTCGTCGTCGTCATCGTCATTATACTGACCAAGAGCATTGACCAACTCCACAAAAATTTCATCATTTATAAATCCACATTCTAAAAACCAAACGTCAGAAACAGAGGGAAAAGGGTAATGACAAAAGTTTATGTATATGTTTTTCTAATCTGGAAGAATAGCAAAGGCTTATCAGCACTATAACCTGAGGGGCAGGTAAGGACAGTCAAGATCAATTTCATAGCCACCAAAGAAAAGAGAGCATTTACCTTCAGTATCTGTCAGTCTCTCAGGAATCACCTCTCTAGCTGGCCCAGGGCATTATTATTCCTTTAATCCTCAAGGACCTGTGGCTTTAGCCTCTTCACAATCTGTGCACTGACTGACCGCTTCAATCCTGTTTTCACTACATGATCACATCTCCCTTTGCTCAGATATCAAGAGAGCCTCCTGTACACAGAAATCTGAATCTAGGATTTTGATAACTCAATTTAATAGGCTCTGGCTACCCTGAGGAAAGACACTGTTGAGCAGGGAGGCTTCGTGAAACACATGTCCTATAAACAGAACTTTAAACTTAGGTTTACTATTATTGAAAGCTTACCATATACACATACACTATTCCTATAAAATCTATGTGTTGTTGCTGCTACAGTTTATGACCAGTTACTGATGATTACCAATTAGCAAATAAGATCCTCAGATTGAAAAACTAAAGAAACACTAAACCTTTATGCCTGTAAGCCCCAACTAGCTCTTTATTCAACAGCAAAAGTTAATTTTATTATTAAAAGAGTTTTTTTTTTTTCAAACTCTATGTTTAAGAAACCTTAAGTCTTTAGCAACTCCATCTATGACAGTCTGAATGAAAATGGTGTTGACAGGCCCACGGGGAGGGACATGATTAGGAGGTATGCCACTATTGGAGTATGTGTAGCCTTGCTAGAGGAAGAGTGTCACTGGGGCCAGGCTTTGAGGTTTTAGGTGCTTAAGGCAGACTCAGTGTCTGATGGGGTTGGTCTTGTGACCTGGGAATTTAGAACCTGAGTTCTATGCCCTGGTCCAGACTGCAACTGGATCTTGGGGCACTGTATTAACATAGGTACTGCAAAGAATGTCTCCCAATAATCCCTGATCAAAAAATGGCTGGGGTTTATGACTGGGTATAAAGGAGAAGAAGGCAGGACTTACAATCAAGGAAGATTTAAAGAGAGACTAGGAGGAAGAAGGGAAAGATGAGAGAGAAGTGTCCAGGAGGCCGGATGGACAATGAGCATGTGGCCAAGAGAAGCTGGTCCTGGAACACACATGGTACAGAGCAAGTTGGGGTAGAACGCAAACTGACAGTACACAGGGCCTGTCGCTCGGATATGGATTACAAGAACTCAGAATCTGCCTAGTCTAGGATTATAGCCTGTAAATAAATTTAAACTGCTTCTATGTCAATTACTTGGGAACTATATGGACAAAAATGGGGCAGAAACCTCCAATAGATATTAAGCAGTAAAAGGGGGCACAGCAACACCCCAGAAAATTAGTATTGCATCAAGTGTAACTCTCTCTTCCTGCTGCCTGCCATCCAGATGTAGTAGAACTCTGGGCTCCTTCTCCAACACCATACTTGCCTGAGTGCCACCATGCTTCCTTCCATGACGATAATGGACTAAACCTCTCAACAGTTAGCAAACCCCAATTAAATGCTTTGCGTTTTAAGAGTTTCCACTGTCATGGCAACAAGAAAATCCTAAGAACCCCCTACTAAAGAGAATATACATATAGCACACCTCTGTCTCCATGCACTTTTCCATCATAATTCTTTATTAGTTCTTCAATGAAAGTGCCATCCTGATCCAGAACTTCATCCCCCATATAAGGAATGTTATGTAAAACAGTTTCATCTTCCACCTAAAAATAAAAAAAAAAGAAAGAAAAAAGTTAAAACCAGATGTATTCTAATTTTTAAATTAGAATTTGAATATTTTTTTAAAACTTGAAAGTCAAAGAAATGGCTCAGCAGGTAAAGACACTTGCTGCCAAGCTTGACAACCAGAATTCAATCCCTGGGACCCGTGTGATAGACAGAGAACTAACTCCCCACACGTTGTCCTCTGACCCCCACACATTTGTCATGATAAACACATAGATATAAATGTGTGTGTGTGTGTGTGTGTGTGTGTGTGTGTGTGTGTGTCGCTACATGGCACACATACACATAAAACTTAAAACTTAAGCTCTTGATGTGAAAACTGAGCACTGAGCTTAATTCCTGGTACAACACAAAAAAGTTAATGAGGTAACTAAAAACAGTATTTTCCTTGAGTACTTGTCTTTATCCAGATCTGTAGAGCAAACTGTTAACTATTGTAACTACCCTTAATCTAATATGCAACTCTTCTTTTAGGAACTGCTAAGAAAGGAAACTTCTGCAGGTTACATGAGACCTCAAGTTTAAGACACTCCTATTGCAGATACTAAAATGGAAGGTACCTGTAGTAGATCTGATGATATGTGGATTATCCAAATAAACTATAAATACTCATCAGCAAAGAGTTTGTAAAAACGTTATTTGTTGATCTAGGAATTAAAATACTCAATACAGTAAACATCTAGGGCTGCTCTGGAGATCTGAGTGAGAGACGCCCTCCACTGGCTCATGGAGTTGAACACTTGGCTCCTAGCTGGCAGCACTGTTGAGAAGGTTTACCAGGTACAACCTTGCTTGAAGAAGTATGTCACTGGATAACCTTTTAAGATTCCATAGCTCACTCCACTTCCAACTGGGTCTCCCAGTTCCCCACTCTGTTTTGTGATTCAGTTGAAGAGGTGATTCTTAGTTTCATGTTCCAGCCACCACGCCTCTGGCTGCCATGGTGGATTCTTATACCCCTGGAACCATAAGCCCAAATAAACTCTTGCTTCTATAAGTTGCCTTGGTCTTGGTGATTTATCACAACAACAAGGGGAAAAAAACCTGATACTGATGAAAATCTATCAACGGTCTTGTCATTCTATGCCAAAAGGATTTATACTTGTAAAATCAAAATATTCTACAGCAACAGAAAATATTTCAATAATTTGATGAACAAGTCATACATCAAAGTTGATTATGCTAGTAAATAAGGTAAGTAAAGCTACATCAAAGTGTAACAAACAGCTGGGAAGGGCCAAAGAAAATGTTGGGGGACAAGAATATCTGAAAACACAGAGGACAAAACTCAAGCATAGAAGGAAGAAAATTATACAACCCATGCACATGACAGCAACTATACAAGACTGGATAGTCCTGAAGCATGTGTCAAAAATAACAAAAAACAAAAACCAAACCACTAAGTTAGGGTAGGCTTACTTGAAAAAGCCCTTGAAGAAGGCATTGGTTAAATGTTGAGTTTTAGAAAGTTAACTGTGAAAAACAGGACACACTGGTGAAGACTCACTAGAGGACAAAGACAACATTTCAAGTATTACAAGCCTCGGATCAGACTATAATAACAAACAACAAGAAAGAACACACTGCAAAAGGCCATGAAACACACAAGTGACCATAAGGCAACTAAGAAACAGGAAGATTAAATGTTTTCAAATCATCACTAGACAACAAATTTTGAATTTGTTATCAGAAGTTTAAATAAAGAAACAAAACTTGAGACAAAGCAAAATATGAGTAATAAAAGGAAAATATAGAGTTTGTATAGTTTCTAATGTATATATTACTCAGGTTCAGAATATCAGCACACTCACCTCAAGTTTCATTTCACTTTGTGTGTACAATTTCCATCTAAACCAAATCTAGTTCTTTGAATGTAAGCCAAAATTAAATATTTGGCTATTATGTCTTCTCACACCTTTGCTCCCCAAAGTATACGCTACGCATAATAATCATCTAATTTGTTTTGGTCAGTGACCAGGAAGGTCTTCAAATGATCTAAACTTCCCACTGGCAACTTAAAAAACAAAAATAAACAAACAAACAACAACAAAAAGAACCCTTAAGAGTCTTTCACAATTCCAATCTATACAGGGATAATGTTTATATGCACTGTGTGAAGATGTGTCTCTGTCCTTCCTTTCCTGCCTAAGGCACCTTCTGATTGGTTAAAATAAAAGGCCTATAGCCTATAGCAAAAGGTAGAATATATGGTAGGACCCCAGCAGAGAAATTCTTTCTCAGAGAAAGGAATTCTGAGAAAGAGTCAGGCACAGAAAGAATCGCCACCTAGGCTCTGAAGAAGTTGGACATGTGAAACTGAAGAGAAACAACCAGCTGTGTGACAGACCTTATATAAATATAACTAGGTCTCTGTGTCCTTATTTCAGAGCTGAGATGGGCTTAGAAAGGTCCACAATATAAATCTGAAAATATGAAGCCTCATTGAAGGTGTCAGTATGTTTCTCAACTGTAGTATTTCTTAGTAAAGCCTTAAATGCACACATATTTCAACTTTATAAGAATACCTGAAATTTAGCTTTAAAACTGCCACGGTTAGAAGTGTAAGAAAAGTCACTAATTATAAATGTCTAGTATTTAAAAAAACCATCAGTCTCTAACAAGCAATTCTGAACAGCAATTCTCTAACTTCATCAAGAAATTCTCTCAGCATTTTATTATATACATCAAATGAGTAAAGCTATGGTGCTTTTTTTTTCTTAAGTGTGTGTTAGTGTGTGTATATGTGGGTCTATGTGAGTGTGAATGTGTACAGGACCAGAAGCTATCCACCTTGAGTTAATTGGCCTAGAGACTACTGATTAGGCAAGGCTGGCCAAGGAGCCTTTCTCCACCTCCCCAACGTTGTATATATACCTATATACCTCCATGCCAGACTTTTTCATGCATACATGCATGAAGCCATCTCCCTAGCCCCAAACTGTGTATTTTAATTTAACAATACAAGTCAAGAATATACTCTTCAATTTCTTTTACTCTACTTCCCTTCATTCTATTTCCATAAAGAAATATGAGCATTGCATTGTCAAAGCTTGAACTAGTGTTCTCTGCAGACACAATGACCTAACTTGTGCTTTATAAATCCTAAGAGTAGTTCCTAGTATACATTATTACGTGTGTGTGTGTGTGTGTGTGTGTGTGTGTGTGTGTGTGTGTGTATGTATGCACATACATATGGTTTGTTTTTTTTTTTGAGACAGGATCTCTATTGTGTAGCTCTGGCTGTCCAAAAACTCCATATGCAGACCAGACTGGCCTCAAACTAAAAGTGTGCCACTATCTTAACCTTTTCCTGAAAACTGTTTGATGAGGTCAGAGGGGAATTTTAAAGAATAAGAACTATAAACATCATCTTTAAATGTGTTTACTTCAACTTTTCTTGTGGAAAATGCATTAAAAAAATTAAATGGCTTTTAACTATTAATTTTAAAAAATCAGTCCAAGTGCTATCATTTTGATGGCTTTTTTAAATTATTTTTTCCTTATCACAACAAGAAATTGCTATGTTTCTTATTTAAATACATTACCAAGCAAGCAAAAGCTACATTACTTACATACCATAAAATTCTGTTGTAAGGGAGACCAAGAATACATTATGGGCACCGATGCAACTGCATTCAGGGTCTTTAACGGGATGACTTGTGCTGGAAAATCCAAGTCACTGGTCACTGAACACTAAAACAGAACACAAATAAATAAAAACTTCCTCTTACAAATAAAAAGATCAGCCTTAAGCTACGGTCATTTATACTGTGAACAGATGCTGCATTCTTAAGTAACTCTGAACATCATTCTTATGATGGAAGGGTTCATAAAATCCAAAAAGAATCCTCTTTTCTCTACGGTGTCTCCTTAGACATTCTCCATCTTTTGCAAGCTTTTAAACTTCTCCAGCTTTCTCATACTTACCATTAACAGTTAGAATCAAAAACTATATTCATATTAACCTAGAAATCTGATCTGTGACACCCTTTCTCTAAACACTTAAGTATATACTTAATTCTGATCACCCAAGCACACAGGTTAGAACATATTTTGTGTCCTAAAATTATGAATTACATTGACCTTTTTCTTTATTTGTTGAGATGAGGTTCTGTTATTGAACTTAATCTGTAGACCAGGATGTCCTCAAATTTACAATCCTCCTGCCTCAGACTAAAAGGTGCTGTGAATGCTAAGGCAGACATCACTATGGTATATATAAACCTTTTCTCTTGCTTTTTAAAAATGTCATATTTTATATAATATTATCAAATAATGAATTCAGAGTAACACAGGAGTTTCAACTGCAAAAACCATTCTAATTAATTCTGTAACATCTAACTGTTCACATGTAAGGCACTACATTAAGCACGGTAAATGTTTTATCATAGTTATTACAGCACACTATTTGAAGACACTTCCCCCACTTTGCAGTGAGAAAACTAAGGTAGAGAAAGGACAAGCAGCTTGCTCAAGATCATACATGGAGTGTAAACAGCAAGCCTGACTATGCTCACTGTTCTGACTCACTGCCATGATACTTCACCTCTATAAAACACCTTCTGTCCCTTAACATGTCATTTCATATTATTTATGATAATGATGATTTAATGTTAGCTTTCTGGGGCATCAGAAAGAGACAGAATTCGACTTCTAACAACAGACTTCTAATAACTGTGTTTATTAGTGCACATAGCGAAGGACAACTCCTCTCCAGAGGAAGAAACTGAAGGATCTGCCAGGGGGGCAAAGCTAGCTGTGACCCTTTATAGGTGTGTGGGGTGTGGGCCTTGAGTGAGGAAATTGTTGTAGCCTTGGTCACTCCTGGAGTCTCTCCTTCCTGAAATTGTTGGCCCAAGGCAAGACAGACTACTCAACTGTAATCTCACAGGAATCCTGTCTCACAACTGAGGCAGTCTATCAGATTTCATAGCACACTATTTCTCCTCTATCACATAGGGAAAAACTGCTAATTACATTGTGATGTAATGCCTTCTTATCACAGTGACTTGAACAAAACTGTTGGTTAAAAATTATTAAAATTTTTGCAACTTTGATTCTAATATAGTAAAAATCTGTGCCCTAATAGCCACATTGCTTTCTATCCTGATAAGGAATCCAGCTTTTCTTAAGAGTTCTATTCTCAAATGTCAGGCCTCCGTGGCCGTCTCAAAAATACCTCAGATATGTATTGATGATTTATAACTAATATAAATAGAACAGAATAAATTGAACCCCTAGCAGTCATATATGTACACACAATATACAGAGTCAGTGTCTGAGATTGATGTAGGGTGTTTCCAAGTCAGCAAGACTGGGACTGGATGAGGAGAGACTGCTCACACACGGGTCACATAAGCCTACATGTGTACTCATGTGTACTCATGTATAGAGCCCTCAGTTCTGCTCTGACCATCACAGTGCTCGCTGCCACAAAAAGATGACTCCTTCCTAAGAGAAGCAAAAGTGACGGACAAAGCAGTTCCAAACAACTAAGATAGTGATGTCTACTAATGTGTTTTCCAAAAAGGCAAAGGAAAAATAATACCAAAAGCTCAAAGCCAAGTAAATAAGGTGTTAATGGCTTATTAATATTTTCTTTCCTACTAACTGGCTTCAAACACAGATCCTCATCCCTCCATTTGCTAATCCAATAACAACAGGAACTAGTATTTATTGATCACATAGTGTGTTCCAGCCACTGTACTAAGTAACTGCTTATATTCATGATCATAAATAGTTCTTATTATGACCTTAAGGTGTAATTTTAACATCACAAACCACAAATGGGACTAGGGGCCAGAAGTTAAATCTTCCTAGTAAGAAAGTGAACTTTGAAGGCAGGACTAAAAGCTATGTCTATCTGTAACATCCAAGAACTTCTTTAATTTATTGTGCTTTAGTTTTTGCTCTCAGAAGCTCACAGGGAAGAGTCACTAAAGAGCCTTATAGTATCTGCTATGTGGAATGTGACCACACCCAGTGAGGTCACGAGGGCATTGCCAACAACTCTCCTCTTACTCTATCCCTAGCACATCTTCCTGTCCTTCAACCTAACTAGGTAAATCCAGGTATGAAAATGATTTTAATTACTCAATAAAGCATCACATACTATCCAATAATCTTAAATATAAAACAATTTTCATTTCTTAAAAAAGTTACTATATTTGTTTTATATTTGGCAGGGATAAATTAATTCTACATAGAAGCTGTCTTTATAGCTTAGAGAGACAGACTGGCTCTCCAGCCCTAACTTACTTATGTGAGCACATGAATCCAACATCATGTTTAAGTCAGACAGAAAATATTCTTTTCAACCATTAGATAAGGGGAAGACTGATTTGCAGAAAACTTTCTAGCTATACTAAATGAAAGTTAGGAGCTTATAGAAGCACAGAAAACAGGAAGGCACAGGCTATAGCACAAATGACACCTCCAGTCCAATACCTCTGACCCATATCTGGTACCCATGACTTCAAAATTCTGAGTCATCCACAAGTCAGCAAGGGATGAAACACAAGCTCTGTAAGGGTGAGAGCATCTCAGGAGAGAGGTACGATTTTACCTTTCTACCTCAAAACAGTATTAGGCAGTGTCTCCAAACGTAAGTTTACGGTGTCAACAGACTATGTCTGCTGATTCGCTGTGACAGAAAGCTCAGTTCCTTCCAAGCTCTGAGAAAGAACACCTATGTGGAGGATGAACTTGAGCTCTGAGCTTTGCAGCACCTTGATCCTACCCCACACGGCCTCTAGCCAGGTTACAACCATATCCTCTCACCTATGAAAGGACACTGGAATGCCGCAGCATTTGCAGGTAAAACAAGTCAGGAAATGCTATGTGCTGACTTACAGAAAATGCACAAAACTTCCAGTTACTTAGCAACTTTACTGTGTTTGAACGTGTTTCACCCTCAATGCTTTTAATACTCACATCGCTCAGAACAGTGCAAAAGCTGTTGATCTCAAGAGTCTCCAGAGCACTTTTGCCTGTTCAGTTATACCTCTAGGAGGCCTACTTTAGCAGCTTAAGTTTCTAATTCTAGCTCCAATTTCAGGATTACACAAGACATTATTACAGATAATTCATCAACAGTGGTAAAGAAAAACAAGTTACCAAGGATGGCACATTGTCAGAGAAACACAGCTTACTGGTAAGTAACAAGGTTCCTCTGAGGTTGGAGACTTACATCAACTAGCTGGTACAATAGGCGACTGTGTGGCTGGAGAAGAAGCCAAGCCAAAAATAGTAGTTGTAGGAGTACACAACCAAACTGAGACTCTTGGCAGAAGACTGGTTCCAAGTAAAAACTGTGTTATGAAAATCGTAGAGGGAGAGCAGGTGAATGCCCTGCAGGGAAGGGAGAAAAATTAACACACCCTACTATGTGCCAAGCACCACATTAGAGACTTTACCAAAGTTGACTTTAAAATTCACCACTATCCTATGAGGTAAATATTCCCCATTTTAGGCAGGACATCCCAAAGGACAATAGTAACAGCCATCCCACCTCTGAATGATTCTTAGCATGAGGGCAGGTAAACTCAAATTCAAAAAAGTACATGGGAGTTATAGCACACCAGCTACCAGGTGGAGTGATTGTACATTCTTGGATACGCACTGGCTCATTTAGTTAGTTCATACTGAGACACAATAAACTGTCATTATTTTCAAACATACTCCTATTTCTCCATGTGAGAACAATGAAGAAGAAACAGAAAAGCCATAGAAGAGAATGTGAGTGAAAGGCATCAGCTACTATCAACTCTGGAAGGCCTTCAGCCCAGGAGAGAGTAAGGAGGAGACCAGCTATCATCAACCCCAAAGAGAAGCTCAAGATTATTTTCAAAACTCTTAATTTTTCTTCAGGACTTATGGAAAGAAAGGGAATAATATCCAAGTTTTTAATTATCTAGGCCTTATGGTAAGGGCAGTACACATATTTAAATTCAAGGCTGCTTTTAGGTGAAGCAGGAGGGGAAAGAAGGAATGAGTTAAGCAGCATGCACTGAGGACACTCAACAGCAAGCATGGGTTTCATAACCAGTCTGAAAGGCCAAGGAGGAAGGCTGGAGGGGACATTCATGAGGAAAAGTGCCTCTCAAACAAGAGGGTCAGAAATATAAACAAGAATGGGCCTAAGATCCCATTAAATACTTCATGCAAGTATTTAATGAAACCTAAGGAATAAACAGTAGTCTATTCCAGGTTGTAAACTGCTTCCATGTTGACATTATACATTTATGTCAAAAAGCCATTACACACTGGAGTCTCCCTTATAACAAAAGGCTATTATCTTTGATTTCACTTTCATCTAATGTCACTCTTACACTTCTTCCTAGCAGAAATGTACACAGCATTTCAGGATGTGTGTGTGTGTGTGTGTGTGTGTGTGTGTGTGTGTGTGTGTGTGTATGCACATGCGCGCTGGTGGAGGGACGTGTTTTTGCTGTTGTTTTGCTTTGAGTTAGGGTTTTTCTGTGTAGCTCTGGCTGGCATGGAATTCTCTATTGAGACCAGACTGGCTTCAAGCATAGAACAACCCTCCTGCCTTGGCTTCCTGAGTAATAAGATTATATGCAGCTTTTCAGGAGGATTAGTGTGATGGCTAGTCTTAGTTGTCAACTTGACTATATGTAGAATTAATTAAAACCCAAATGGCTGGGTATATCTGTGAGAGATTTTTTTTTCTT